GTCTCTCTCTCTCTCTCTCTCTCTCTCTCTCTCTCTCTCTCTCTGCCCACCATTTCCCCTCTTTCTGTCTATTTCAGTATTTCTATCTATTGCCCGTTTCTTCCTGCTTGTGGGTGAATGTCGCCACTGGTAGGTTTTACTTGATTTCTTTCTGTCCTTTGTAGTTTCCCTTAGTCTGTCCTCCTCTTTTCCCTCGCCAAATGAAATGACTGTTATTATTGAGTCAGTATGATTCTCTTTGCTCTCTGTCTCAAACAAACCAATGATTTGAATACCTGTTATTGGGGGCGATGGGCTTTCCTGTTCTCAGACAAAAGAAAGATCTAATTGGCTGTTCGTGGTATTAACTATAAGACCGTTGGCGCTTGTTACTGACTATATCAGGAGCTTTTCCTCCCACTCGTAACCGGATACCTATGTCACAATGTCCTGCAATCTCCTGTCTGTGGGTGGTTGGCGGGTGCTCTGGTGTGGTTTGCTCCTTCTTTCTGATGAAACTTCTATCTTCCTTATTTCTCTCTTCCTTTTTTTGTGTTTGTTTCTACTCCCTTATAACACTTCTTAATCTTCGGCACTTATATGACCTTATTGTTATTGCAGGTGCCGTAAAACTCTTACTAAAACAAACAATCTCCTGTCTGTGAGTGGTTGGTGGGTGCTCTGGTGTGTTTTCTCCTTATTTCTGATGACACTTCTATCTTCCTTATTTCTCTCCTTCTTTTTTGTGTTTGTTTCTACTCTCTTGTAACACTTCCTAATCTTCGGCATATGTATGACCTTTTTTTTTTGCAAGTTCCATAAACATCTTCCTATTACTAATCTCCTGTCTAACGTGATGCTACTTGAGCGCATAGTCTTGTTGTATTGTATGTTAATACGAAGGAAGAAATAGAAATGCTTACAACAGGAAAGTTGGACAGGGAGATGGGGGTCTGCTGGTGGTATTTATTTTACTTTTGCGATATCATTGATTTCTATCCTGGTTTTTATTTTATTTTAACTATTTTTTAACAGAAATTATATATGTA